ATCCCCATATCATGATGCTTGCGCAACCATGCTTCACTGTCTTCATAGTGTACTGTGGCTTGAATTCAGTGTTTGGGGGTCGTCTGACAAACTGTCTCCGGCCACTAGACCCAAAAAGAACAATATTACTTTCATCAGTCCACAAAATGTTGCACCATTTCTCTTTAGGCCAGTCAATGTGCTCTTTGGCAAATTGTAACCTCTTCAGCACGTCTTTTTTTCAACAGTGGGACTTTGCGGGGGCTTCTTGCAGATAGCTTGGCTTCACATAGGCGTCTTCTAATTGTAACAGTACTCACAGGTAACTTTACACCTTCTTTGATCTTCCTGGAGCTGATTGTTGGCTGAGTCCTTGCCATTTTGGCTATTCTTCTATCCATTCGAATGGTATTTTTTCGCTTTCTTCCATGTCTTTCAGGTTTTGGTTGCCATTTTAAAGCATTTGTGATCATTTAGCTGAGCAGCCTATCATTTTCTGCACTTCTTTATATGTTTTCCCCTCTCCAATCAACTTTTTAATCAAGGTACGCTGTTCTTCTGAACAATATCTGGAACGACCCATTTTCCTCAGAATTTCAGAGAGAAATGCACTGTAACCAGCATGTACAACATTTGCAGCCTTCCTTCCTTAAATAAGGGCAATAATTGCCACCTGTTTTTCAAAGAACGAATGACCTCACTAATAGAACTCCACACTGCTATTATTTTGAACATGCCCCTTTCAATTAGTGATTCAATTACACAGAATCAGCAGCATGCATGTCATGACTGTTGGGTCTGTTGGATTTCTATTACTCTACTACACCTGCTAGTAAATTATTTGCCATGTAGAAATATCATTTCTACCAAAAACAGTGATTGATCGGGTTAGTGATGTCTGACTGCTATTATTTTGAACACAACTGTATAATCTTCCAAGTTTTTATGCCCATCGTATATTTTATAAATAAAATGTATGTTGCAAAGTACCAGTGGGTCACAGGAGTGCTCTTGTGTGACCCAGAATTAGCTGACAGTGGGTTAGTCTGCTGACGTCACAGAGCGGCTCCAGGCTCTGGAAGGATCCTTACAATAATGTCAGGAACCACTCAGATGCCTGATTGGCAGCTGGCTCAGCCTGTCAGCGCGTTCCCATCCCTCCAAAGCCCTGCAATCCAGTGAGCTTTGAGGGGCAGAGAGCTGGTGACTGAAAGCTACTGCTCTGTGCTTCGGGAAGGCTGACAACCGAATGATCAGCAGTCATGTGATTGCTCAGTTCTCAAGACAGCTGCAGCATCAGACTTTAATGATGTACTGGAATTTCATAGTCTAAAAAAATCTATCTAATAAGATAAATACTTTGTCATTGCAATGCAAATTACAATGAAGTTCAATTAAAAAAATGAAATGTTTAGATAAGATGTCTTGCTGCAGGCATGTACAATATTTTGTTGATATAATACCATCATGGTGTATGTGCCACGTGTGAGGTTTTGAGTAAAGCTGTAAAGATATTTATTACAGGGTCTTGATTGGGTGTCTAAACCAGTTTATTTTGGCACTAACTTTGTGGTTTGTCGTCAGTTTTCTGCTTATACATTTTTGAGGACAACAGCTAACTATATATTAGGGAGCATACATTTTGTTATCTTTTGTGTATGTTGTGTGGTATCCACAGTCACCACAGCTGTCTTTGTGCACACGACTTGTGCACAGTATGGCTTTGTCATCTGTCACATCTGGAGATTTATTTATTTTTTGGTATAATTTAAATGGATTTCCTGTGGCTGCACATTGGCCTCCACCCAAAGGTCGTCCTGGGGTTATGGTTAGATTTCTTACTTGCAAGCTGCATGCTTCAGCTAACCTGAATCCTTCTTCTTTTTTTTTTTTTTTTTTTTTTTTGCTTTCTTTCTTTTTTATACCTATAGACATATAAAAAGGACCTTCTCTTAACACCCCCTACCCCCAATAGAAATAGCAAAGAGGACAACTTAAATAAGTACACTTGCCTACCTCAGTGATGCCTCTTTGCTGCCTGTGCCCTCCCTCCCATGCTAGATTTATATAGTCCTCCCGCGCTCAGAATGTCAACCTCTAAATATAGCCGCTAACACCCTACCACATACTACAATGGACAATATTGAAATATAGTAACTTTGTGCTGCACTAATAATTAATCCTTTGGAATAAAATAAGCAGAAAAATATCACAAAAAGAGCATATAAATATAGAATACACATGAAAATAAAATATATAACCGTGGAACCCCCAAAGTACTAAATCTAGAATGTTACCTGCATGCACATTAAATAGGTGACTAATAGATATCAAATTATATATAAAAAGATATATAGAATAGAATACACATGAATGTGCAAAATCATATATGACGGTGAAACCCCCAAATTATTTCTAAGGTGTAACCTAAGCACACCCTAAATAGGTGATTTATAAGTGACAATCCGTAAAAAGTGCCAAATGAGTGATAAAATCCCACCACTACTGTGCTAAATTGCACAAATGACTAGTGATGTAGAACCTATACCTACAGGTATATTCCATGCCAAACTGGTAATTGCTAAGAAAACTACCCGAAAAAACACTTATAGTGCTCATAAGTGAAGAAAAAAATTGGAAAAGTGGTTTATAGTGAAAAACCACAAAGCTAGTATAACACAAACATAATCAAAAATGCAACATCCCAATTCTGCAGATAAATGACTAATAAAAGAAAAAATGTGAACCATATAGCAGTGACCCCTAATTGGGGATAAAGTGAAAATTAGTGGCTAAGGGACACTAATAGAATCTTTGTATGTAGTGAAGCACGCAGCCTATAAACGGGAAAGACAAACTGCTTAACATGACCCCAAATGTGAGGATAAAAATTGGAAATAAGTGATATACGTGATTCCGTGACATTAAAAAATAAAAAAATCATATAAAATTATATCCAATTTGTAGAGTGAATTGCATCCAAAATAAACTTAAAGTCCAAAACCACCTAAATGGTGGAGGTGTTTTGTAGTCCTTAGTGTATATACGTATATGACCTGTAGGACATGGGAATCCCACACGGAGTGAAATGCCCCCTCACCTCCATGAAGCGACCCCACAGGGTCAAAGCGCTTTTTCAAACAGTACCGCACCGTTCTGGAACCTGGACCCCTTCCCACAGGCACAAGGTCCTAAGCAGAGTCAATCCCCCTCACTGGTGGAAAAAGGCACCGCAAGCAGCCTCCACAGAGATATCCGGGAAATAGCCAATCCTCATACAGCCAGAGAAAGAAAGGAAGATGCTCCCATAGTGTAATAACGTTTTATTAGTAAATACTAAGGTAATACAAGTCCCACTTACATGTAACTGGCTTTACATAGGCTCTGTGTGTAACCACATGCTGTGGGTGTACCGTATTTTTCGCTCCATAAGACGCACTTCTTGTCCCCCAAAAAAGGAGGGAAAATGTCAGTGCGTCTTATGGAGCGAATATAGAGCGGCCGGTCCGGTATTTCCACCGCCGCCGTGTCAGAATACCCGGCCGGCCGCTCAGCTCTGCAGTGGGACCTTACCTGTTCCTCTATCCAGCGGCGCGCTGTCTTCCCGGCTTCTGTAGTGTGCGTGACAGCCGGGTCCCAAGTGCGCATGCGCAAGAAGCAGTGCTCTTTGTGAATGGTAAGGCGGTACCTGGGACACATGACAGATCCCAGAAGCCGCCGGACCAATCACAAAGCGCAGCGCTTCTCGCGCATGCGCACTGGGAATCCGGCTGTCCGACGAGTGCCCACACTACAGAAGCTGGGAAGACAGCGCGCGGCTGGATAGAGGAACAGGTAAGATAAAAAAAAAAAAAAACTCTGCGGAAGTGGGAGCGGGTACCTGTCAAATTCAGGTCCCCGCTCCCCCCCCTCCCCAAAGGTCAGCAGTCATCCCCTGTACTATCCACAGTCTCTGGTCATCCCTGTACTATCCACAGTCTCTGGTCATCCCCTGTACTATCCACAGTCTCTGGTCATCCCTGTGCTGTGTCCGCAGTCTCTGTCTCTTCATCCCTGTGCTGTGTCCGCAGTCTCTGGTCATCCCTGTGCTGTGTCCGCAGTCTCTGGTCATCCCTGTACTGTGTCCGCAGTCTCTGGTCATCCCTGTACTGTGTCCGCAGTCTCTGGTCATCCCCTGTACTGTGTCCGCAGTCTCTGGTCATCTCCTGTACTGTGTCCGCAGTCTCTGGTCATCTCCTGTACTGTGTCCGCAGTCTCTGGTCATCTCCTGTACTGTGTCCGCAGTCTCTGGTCATCTCCTGTACTGTGTCCGCAGTCTCTGGTCATCTGTACTGTGTCCGCAGTCTCTGGTCATCTCCTGTACTATCCACAGTCTCTGGTCATCCCTGTGCTGTCCGCAGTCTCTGGTCATCCCTGTGCTGTGTCCGCAGTCTCTGGTCATCCCTGTGCTGTGTCCGCAGTCTCTGGTCATCCCTGTGCTGTGTCCGCAGTCTCTGGTCATCCCTGTGCTGTGTCCGCAGTCTCTGGTCATCCCCTGTACTGTGTCCGCAGTCTCTGGTCATCCCCTGTACTGTGTCCGCAGTCTCTGGTCATCCCCTGTACTGTGTCCGCAGTCTCTGGTCATCCCCTGTACTGTGTCCGCAGTCTCTGGTCATCTCCTGTACTGTGTCCGCAGTCTCTGGTCATCTCCTGTACTGTGTCCGCAGTCTCTGGTCATCTCCTGTACTGTGTCCGCAGTCTCTGGTCATCTGTACTGTGTCCGCAGTCTCTGGTCATCTCCTGTACTATCCACAGTCTCTGGTCATCCCTGTACTGTGTCCGCAGTCTCTGGTCATCCCTGTACTGTGTCCGCAGTCTCTGGTCATCCCTGTACTGTGTCTGCAGTCTCTGGTCATCTCCTGTACTATGTCTGCAGTCTCTAGTCATCTCCTGTGCTATGTCTGCAGTCTCTGGTCATCTCCTGTACTGTGTCCACAGTCTCTGGTCATCTCCTGTACTGTGTCCACAGTCTCTGGTCATCCCTGTACTGTGTCTGCAGTCTCTGGTCATCCCTGTACTGTGTCTGCAGTCTCTGGTCATCTCCTGTACTATGTCTGCAGTCTCTAGTCATCTCCTGTGCTATGTCTGCAGTCTCTGGTCATCTCCTGTACTGTGTCCGCAGTCTCTGGTCATCTCCTGTACTGTGTCCGCAGTCTCTGGTCATCTCCTGTACTGTGTCCGCAGTCTCTGGTCATCTCCTGTACTGTCTGCAGTCTCTGGTCATCCCCTGTACTGTGTCCGCAGTCTCTGGTCATCCCTGTACTGTCCGCAGTCTCTGGTCATCTCCTCTACTATGTCTGCAGTCCATTAGTTCAGAATTTTTTTTTTCCTGTTTTCTGCCTCTAAAACCTAGGGTGCGTCTTATGGTCAGGTGCGTCTTATGGAGCGAAAAATACGGTACTTTATATTGATATCTATTGGAGTTCCAAGATGGTGTCCACACTGGAAATTGTCAGCACGACAGGAAATAACGTCACCACGTCCCACGTGTTACATCACGCTAACACGTGACTTCATCAGAGTAACATGATTGGTGACTGGTGCTGTCATTTATAGGAAAGCCATCTGTCACTCAAATTGAGGAGAGGCGGACTCCGGGTGGCTATTTTGTTGGAGTCTATGCTCGAGGACACACGGGGCTCATATTCCTCCGCTGGTATAGAGGAATACTGTATAATTTTTTGCCCACTAACCTTACTACATATATACGAAGATAAATATGGTTATTATTGTCATGGACCTAACTGCTAAGGGGATTAATTCAAATAGAATGTGATTTATCCTTTAAAACCTTGGCAGCCATTAACCTGGAGTCCACAGATATAGATAGGTGTGTGTGTGTGTGTGTGTGTGTGTGTGTGTGTGTGTGTGTGTGTGTGTGTGTGTGTGTGTGTGTGTGTGTGTGTGTGTGTGTGTGTGTGTGTGTGTGTGTGTGTTAAAATTAATGCTATAAATAATATAATCCTGCATACGTTCTAAATAAAATATATAAAAAAACCCATAATATTTTATATAAAAATGGGAATGCTATATGGATAATAATTTTTAATTCTTACACACCTGCAAATATATATAATATAATCTACAGTATTTATATAGCGCTGTTTGCTCAGCACTGTACATTATAATGGGAGACCATACACAAGACAGTACAGTAACAATACAATACACAAAGGGTTTGATGGCCCTGCTCCTTGGAGCTTACAGTCTAGGAGGGAGGTGTTAGTGGTACAGGAGGAAATAGCTGTGGGGGATGGAGTGGTAGGAAGAGTGGAGGAGATCGGCAGTTAGGTGAGGGCGGGGTAGGCTTCCCTGAAGAGATGGGTTTTCAAGGTGCGCCTAAAGGTGAGGAGAGTAGGTGACAGTCTGATGGATTGGGGTAGTGAGTTCCAGAGGATGAGGGAAGCCCTGGAGAATTCCTGGAGACGGGCATGGGAGGAGGATACCAGGGCACTAGAGAGTAGGGGGTCTTGTGAGGAGCAGAGAGTACGTTTTGGGTGGTATTTGGATATCAGATCGGTGATGTAGTTTGGGGCAGTGTTATGAACAGCTTTGTACGTCAATGTTAGTAATTTGAATTTTATGCGTTGGGCAATCGGAAGCCAGTGGAGGGATTGGCAGAGGGGGGTGGTGGATACGGAGCGTTTAATAGTAAGGTGGATGAGTCTGGCCGCAGAATTCTGGATAGACTGAAGCAGGGATAGCCTGTGATGAGGTAAATTTTCTACTATATCAGAGGCTAATTAATCTGTTTTTATCAAATAGAATATTAAAAAAATAACACCCATGTAGAGAACATCCACACCTCGGGCTCACAAAATCGCACACATCTTTCTTATTATAAATAAATATATATCCTAACCACATTTTATAACAACTTTATTGAGGTAAAATTTACAACCAAAGTACTAAAATGACAAGAAATAGCGACCTGCATATTAAAAATCATTTATAAAACAATTAAGGTCAAACGCTACATTTAGACCTTTCGGATCCTGCGTTTTGCATAGAATAAATCCACTTGGACTCTGCTTGACTTAATGTTTTGTATTTTATTCCTACCTCTCCAGTGTTGGTTATAGTTCTCTATACCCTAAAAAAGGAGGTAAGATGGATCTTTATTGTGTAATAGTGTTTGGACAGACTGTTTAGGGTAACCTTTACGTATATTTTGAATGTGTTCCCTTATTTTTATCCATGGTGGTCTTTTGGTTCTCCCTACATACTGTAGACTTCAGGAACACTGAAGACCATACACTACTCCCTCTGTCCTCCATGATATGAAATCTTTGGTTTTGAATTCTGAACCATTACTTTGAGATATAAATGAATTCCTTTTCTTATTTAATCCTTTGGTGGTTTTGCATGCATAACAATTTTTGCATGGAAAGAAACCTTTTGCGTCCAAAAAGTCACTGATTTATTTTTCCTGGGTGGGTCAAGAACATTCTTTGCTAATTTTAATCTTAGCGTAGGGAGCTTGTCTGTAAACAAATTTAGGATGGGCTGCTAATAATTCTGTTAAAACGTTATCTGCTTTTAAAAGGGGCCAATATTTTTTAAAAATACTCTCAACTTTTTTATAATGTACATTAAAAATCTAAAATGATAGACCGTTCATCCTTACAGTTATCCTTTTGTCTTTGATCGTTTATCAATAAAGATTGATCAATATTGGCTACCTCTTGAATAGCCCCATCGATAAAATCCTGTGGGTACCCCTTCTTAATGAAACGTTCACCTATTGTTTTCACTTGATCTCTGTAGTCACTTTCAGAGGTGCAATTCCTTCTAAGGCGGACTCATCGTCCCTTGGGGATATTCAGTAACCATGGGGGGTAATGGCAACTGTCTATAGGTATAAACCCATTCCTATCTACTCCTTTAAAAAAAAATTTGGGTTACTATTTCTTCCTTTTTTCCGTATCAGTATTAAGTCTACAAAATGAATTTGTGCAATACTGTGTTTCCAAGAGAATTTTATGTTTCTTTTATTACTATTAAGTTTATTCAAAAAAGCTACCAGGTCTTCCTCCTTCCCCTCCCAAACTATGATTACATCATCTATATATCTCTTATAGACTTTCAGGCCCTCTGGGGGTTATTCATATATAGCTTCTTTTTCCCAGAAGGACATGAACAAATTTGCAAAACTGGGGGCAAAACGTGCCCCATAGCTACCCCTTTTAATTTGGCGAAAGAACTGATGGTTGTGCCAAAAGTAGTTATGTGTAAACAAAAATCAAGACATTCTATTCTGTATTTTCTTTGTGTCCAGGACAAATCACTTAATTCTCTAAGGCCCCAATTGGTAGCCTCTATAGCGTCCTGATGTCCTATGATCGTGTAAAGGGAAAATACATCAGCGCTAGCTAAAAATATGGATGTGGATTTGAACTTTAATTTGTCTATTATTTGTATTAGGTGTTTAGTATCTCTAAGATAGGATAGGGTATTTTTTTTGCTAAGGGTTGGAGGAATGAGTCTATATATTGCCCCAACCGAGCACTTACTGATTGGATTCCATTTACAATCGGTCTTCCTGGTGGGTGCAAATTATTTTTATGTATTTTTGGTACTGTGTACATTACAGGAATTCTACAGCTATCAGATACCAAAAATCTAGCCTCCTTCTTATTGAGTATATTCTTCTCAGAGCCCTTTTATCATTAATTTCTCAAGTTTTTTTTCTTGTATTTATGTGTGGGATCTTTCAGGAGTTTTTGATATGTGTCTGGGTCTTCTAAATGGCCCTCTAATTCTTTCATATAATATTCCTTGGACAGGACAACTATCCCCCTCCCTTATCTGCAGGTCGAATCACTATGTCATTCCTTTTCGATAATGTTTTTATTCCTATTTCTATTCCCTTATTCATGTTTTATTTTGGGGATTTTCAATTTTTTTCCAGATCCTGTGGAACCATTTTTTTGAAAGCCTCCACTTTCAAAAGTTGTTCCCACTGATTTGTGGATTAAAAAGCGATTTTGTTCCGTAAGGTAGTGTCTTTAATCCCATCACTTGGGGCATTGGTAACTATACTTCTGGCCCCCAGCAGGTCTAAAAAATAATTCTTAATATTCAGTTTCCGTGTATATTTTGTTATTTGCAGGTTTAGGTGGGGCATACTTTAAACGCTTATCCAGTGCCATAATTTCTTCTTTAGTTAAAGAGGCACCACTAAGGTTGAAAAAAGCTGACATTGAGCTTTAGTGCTAACATCACTGCAGAAAGTGTTACTGTCAACAAAACTACCAGTTTATTGAAGGGAAAAAAAATATCCCTTCCAGGTAAGCTACATACATGGCATCAAGTTTAGCAAACCTTAATGCCAATAATGATTTGGCTTCTTATAAATATTGATACAGGCCAATGCACTTGTTAAAGGGAAAGTGTCTGCTGACTATAAATGGATCAGTCTTGGTTTTGCATAAACGTCAAAGCCACCTAGCATCTTTCCATTGTATTCTGAGGTTAAATTGCGCGTTTTGTGACCATGCTTCCTTGGGGTTCCAGGGTCTTGGGGGAGAAAAAACAGCCAGTTATAGTATATAAGGACCCTTCCTTGAACTGGAGTGTCTGTAGTTTAGATTTAGAGGGTAGCTAGGCTGTAGTCATCCTGGGCTCTGGTTTATTTCTATATTCCTTGGGCTTCCTCTGAGTTCACATAGTTTGCTTCTGCCTCTTGCTTCTCCAGCAGACAAAGCAAGGAGAAACAAGGTCTTGAGTTATAAATATTTATTTACTCTGGCCAGTCACTAAGAGGTTTATTGCCAGGGATGCATGTTGGAGAAGGAGTAAATATTTGTGGTTATCTTTTTTTTCTTTTTTTTTTCATACCAGAGTTTGCCTGGAGAGTGTGTAGTTTCAGCGAGTCTTTGCCTCCCAGGCCTGGTTCCTGGGGAGGGTATTTCTGAAAGACTGGCCTGAACCTGGGCCTTAGGAAGTGAAAGTTGGTCTGTGCCTAAAGGATTTTTGCTATCTAGCTGGAGGGTATATAAAACGAGAGAGGAGCAGGAATATGGCTGCTATGGTGCACCTTAGAATGGGGCTTCTGTGCTGCAGATTACTGACTTTTTTTTTTTTTTTTTAAAGTGACTTTAAAAAAAAAGTCATCCTTTCTTTCACTCACAATAAGTCAAGGATTCTGTTTGAAATGCTAGTCCATCAAGCCAACTGGGGTTCTTACTCAACACAGCCCAGGAATAAGGATTGCCTTTGTAGCAGGCATGTCAAATATGTAATCCATGGATACTATGTGGCCTTCTGAAGGTGATGAGGGATGGAGATGTCTCTGTCATGAAGTGAAAAGGCAGGCAGGAGTCGCTAAGCGTGACAGATGGTGAGTGGGCATAATACGCTCTGTAGCCATGGCTCCAGGCAGTGATAGTTGGGTGGTGGGTATTATAATTATTCCAGACCCAGCTCTAGAGGGATGCTGGGTAAAGCAGTTCTTTGCATGCAAGCCTGAGTGCAGCTGTTTTTAGCGTGACTTTTTACCATTGTCACTTGTTCGTTTAAAAGTGGTTGAGCATACAGGGAGCAATGTGAAGGTGGTGGGTAGTGAACCTGAGCTGAAAAAAGGCGGCGCGACCTACCGATATATAGATGCAACTGCCTCTGCTAACGATCCTTGCACTTAAATTTCACCTGCCCAATGTTGCAGATCATTTTTAGATCTTTAAAATTCTAGCTGGCTACATATTGAAAAGGAGAAGTGATTTTAATAACAAACTACAAAACTAATTGTGTATCTGGGTTTTGTTTGTGTGGGTTTTTTTTTTTTTTTTTTTTCCTTCCCTCTTTTTGTAAGCAGAAGTTGTCTTCCTAAAACCAGTAATGTTTTATGTTCTCAGGAACAACCCTGTAATAATAACTTTTTTTCTTTCAGTGTTATACCTTTACTCAAACAGTCGATTGGTATCCTTATGCAAAGAACTCCTCCCGTTTTGGATTCCGTGCTTCCTGAGTGTTACCAGAGGGTATGTTTTACATACTTTTGAGAACTTTTCCTACAGCAGAACTCCTATCCGCTATAAGAAATCATTTTAGTCCAATTATGTTAATGAATATTGAAGTTATTAAATCTTCTGCAGTGTTTTTTTGAGAGCATGACACGCACCTCATGTAGTTACAAAAGCAGAACTGGAGGCTGATCTCTGAACATAAAAATTTATATGTGTCAGTGTAGTTGCATGTAGAATATATCTTCAATCTAGAGTCTATTTTTGCTCTATCTGTTGTTAATGGTTGTAATAAGGATAACAAACAGAGCTGGAAATTGCCAGTAGCAAGGCACTTCTTACTTATGTGGCCAAGCACACCTGCAGGCAGTGGGACACCCTATGAAAGCAATGGACAGAATGTTTTCTGCCTACCCCTGCCTACTACTCTGATTGGTAGTCTACTTGCTCTGCCTCTGCTCTGAAGCCCCACACACAGAGCTAACAGATGCCCTTTTCACTGCAAAAGCAGCAGGGAATCAGAAAATGTAGATAATAGCCATGTCTCCACAAATACACCCACATTTTGGCCCTCAGTCCCTTTATGGAAGGCTGATGATTCTGATATGCTTTCTAATGCAATTTTCTAAATCATCCACTTTCTGATACCAAAGCATTATCTGGGGAAAAAGGCATCTTCCTGTCCTCCTTAGCAATGCATTCCCTCGTATTTTACATATCCTGCCTATCGGGCTAATGCCCACCTTTTTATTATTTTATGAATAGAGAGATGTTCATGATATATTCAAATTGTATTTGAATATTGCACCCATAGATAGCACAATGCAATATATGCATATGGAGTAGTAGTACACCAACTACTGTAGGTAGTTCCCCATAGAGGGTGTTAAGTTTTAGAAATGTATATAAAGACGTTTGTACACATTCTTTTAGTATGTATCCACCATATAAAGATCCCCATGCAACCCAAATAAGGTGAATTCAGTTGCAGCATTATAGATAACTATACATAATTTGATGGGCTTAAACATAATAAAATGGTTCAGTTTCATACCTTAGCAATTTAATGTAGTAGGCGAGGTTAGCTTGTTATAAGAGTGGAGGTGAAGCCGGAGGGTACTCGATTCTGAAGACGTCCTTTTATGATGACGAAACCGATTGGGTGGGAACTTCTGGAGACTTCATATTTTCTCTTTGGAGCGCACTCCAGATATGAGTACAGTGGCGCTTCCTGATGCAGTTTATCTATATGTATGCTATCGCTTCTCTCCTTGGTATTGATTGTTCCATCTTACATGTGGGATATGAGCAATTTATATTACATGAAAATCCATGTTGAAGCCTGGGTGCAATTAAAGCTTGGTCTGACTTGCTTGAAAATAGTAGCTGGTGAGTGCGGGAGAAGTTGGGGGTCACCTGGATTATGTTTGGGCAGCATGTATGAGAATATCACAACTATTGGATGAATTTTCACAAGTCACAAATTTTGCATTTGGGAATAGTACAACTACTGACCACTTTTTTTTTTTTTTTTTTTGGACTTTAATTTGAGATTAAATAATGGTGATGTAGCTTTGCACCCCTTGTGGGTTTTTTTGTTATTCAGTATCCACATTTTATTTCCTCTGTTCTGCCGGTCAGGGAGGTATTGCAGGCAATTTTGGCTGCAATCGTCTGCGTATTTACCTTTTTTTAGCATTAATTTCTGTGTCTTGTTGGTCTGGACCCTAGATGGTTTTGGTGTGTCTGGAGCAATTTGTACACAACTTTGGGTATTGGGTGGGCTGCAGCTTTCCTCCTGCTAGTCCAGCTGAGGAAACTCTGGAGACTTTCATTGTCAATTGTTGCTGGTCTCTACTCTTGTCAGTGCTGAGGATGTTGTACGCCAAGAGCAAAGAAGGAACATAGGAGAGACCATCTATCTGCAGGATTGAGTCAGATTCTGTAGGCTCCCAGCAGGGCTCATGCTAGATGCACCAGGTTTTTAAGGCAGTAGATGTTTTCCAGGACATTGCAGCGCTGGAGAACAGGTGAGTATAGTTCCACTTGGTAAGGTTGATATTGTGACCGTTTTCATTTTTATGACCCTTAAGATCATTTATTTTTAATCGAGCTATTGGTTGGCTTGCTATAGAATGGGTGGACATTAAGTATTGTGAAAGCTCAAAGACTGTTCCTGACTTGCTGATAGGTAAGAGCAAGTTGTAGAATGCATTAATTAGCTGTATTTATTCAGTCCGATAGCTCAGCATGTTAAATCCATAGCCTGATTTTTTTTTTTTTTTTTTTTTTTTTTTGAGTGACTCCTCTATAAATTGCTTTTGATCATATTGGATATCTTCTATAGGTGCAACAGTTACAGGGTGTTTACCACCTTCATGACCCTCATTTCTGGACCCTTTGCACAGATGTTTATGTCGGCACTCTGAAGCTGGTAGTGGGGCCTGAGGCTGATACCCGTTGGATTCTCAGTCAAACTCATAATATTTTTACACAGGTGGGTCCTTCTTCATATTGTCTTCTTGCAAATTTAATTTTGCTATGTTTGCTACTCTAAATAGTTTGGTTTTTTTTTTTTTGTTGAAATCCTGGTTCTAAAACAGAATTCAAGCAGTATGTAGTTGCATGTACATCAGCTGCCCAGCATCACATATGTGTGGCGTGAGGGCATTAAAGACCAACCTTTTGATGCTGGACATATGTGTTGGGTGGTCGAAAGGAGGTTGAATAAATTATTAGAAATGTTTTGTTATATCTTTTTAGTGAGTGCATAACCACTTTCCGGCCGGCCCATGTAGTTTTACTGCTACAGGGCGGTTACTGTATATAATGTATGTGATTCTGTTTTTCCGGGTAGGGGGTGTGCGTGCTTGCCTACCCGTGCTGTCATTTGCTTGCTTACATGTCAATCACCAGGTCCCGGCTATAATTTTCAAGCAAACCAATGAATATTGGGATTTTTTTTTTCTTCTTTACCAAAGACTTGTAGCAGAATACATTTTGACCTAAATGTGTTTTTTTGTTTTAGTGCACAAATATAAAAAAAACGCAGTGGTGATCAAATACCACCAAAAGAAAGCTCTATTTATGTGAAAAAATGTATAGAAATTTAATTTTGTGTACAGTGTTGCATGACAACGCAGTTAAAGTAGCACAGCGCCGTTTAGCAAAAAGTGGACAGGTAAATCTTCTGAAGAGCAAGATAAAAAAACCTGTTGTTCCTGGCTGGAATGAGCTGCTAACTTTCGCTAGTGAGCTGACATTGCTGCACTGAAATGGCAAACATTGTTTGTAGCCTTGCCTGAGTTCTCTACTTGAACTGCAGAACATCTCCTCCCAGTCCTAACGACTTTTTTTTTTTCTTCGGGTTACAATGCTGCTCTATAGATAGGTGAATTTATCTAGGACAGAAAGGGTGTTACTGGTAAGATCACTAGGTGAAAAAAACGAATGCAATAACCACATCTAAGGCTGGCCATACACTATACAATTTTCTTTAGATTGACCAAAAACCATATAATATGAGGTCAAACCTAAACAACACTTTTAATTGTATCCAATTAGGCGGGCCCTTTGCACTACACAGTTGAAGGTAAATTAACGCAAACTGGGCAGAAATTGGATAGAAAATTGTATAGTGTATGGCCAGCCTAAGGATCATTAGGCTGCATTATACACTCACCGGCCACTTTATTAGGTGCACCTGTTCAATTGCTTGGTAACACAAATTGCTAATCAACCAATCGCATAGTAGCAACTCAATGCATTTAGGCACTTAGACATGGTGAAGACGACTTGTTGAAGTTCAAACCGAGCATCAGTACCTATTAAAGTGGCAAATGAGTGTATATCACATTAGATAACAATTTAAGGGCCTGTTCCATGTTTTTGTAGCATAGAGATTTTTTTTTTTTTTTTTTTTTTTTTATGGCAAACAGTCAGTCCTTTAAATTGGTAGTAAACCTAAAAAAAAAAAAAGGAAAAATCCCAATACATGTAAATTAATTGGTTTTACGTGAAAGTTATAACGTGGGGGGGGCTGACTATAACTGCCACTGACATCCCCAGTGACACGAATACAGTGATCAGTGCTAATAAAAAGCACTGACACAGTACTAATCACACTGGGCAGGAAGGGGTTAACATCTGGGGCGATCAAAGGGTTAACTGTGTGCGGTTTGTGTTTTACTGTGTGCTGTGTTTTACTAGGGAGGCGTGCTGTTTTAGATACAAAATAGCATATCCATGCTGACAAGAGAGAGACCCCTGTTTACACACAGGTCTATCACCTTTCCCTGATGATCACCAATTCCTGGCCGGAACCCAGTGATTGACATCCCTAACCGCCAATGGCAGAGCGGGTAGGGTGGTGTGCTTCCTACCCGGAAATGCAAATCGCGTGTGTGTATAAATAAAATGTGTGTGATTTTGCACAGCCCTGCTAAAGGATGGTGGGCAAGCAGTTAAGTTACATTTTCTTGATTTTATTTGCCTATATTAATGCAGTTGTAACTGATTTTTTGTTTTTCAGGCTGGCATTAGGCAGCTGTATGTACAGATAGACTCCGCAGCAATGTAATCCCTCAGCTGACCTCATTTCGGACCAAAGTGCAGACGTGAACACTAGGACCTGAGCTCCTACTCTGATAAAGCCACTGCAGCGATGCACCCAATGGGACCAAGCCTCACTCACCTGCCTCTGGGCAGAAAGGGTCTCCCACTTGTGCCACATTTCCTTCAGTTGCAAATGTACTTTTATACAGTGTATGGACTGCACATCGGATGTTGCCTTTTCACACTGTCCAAGAAACCCGGTGCCTCTTATAAAGTTATGATGTGCTGTTGAGGTGCATTCGATATAGCCATTCTGCCAGTCACACTTTCAGATATACATATATGCACCTTAGGTCTATTGACTCTTTATCCAAGGTTTGACTTGAACTGAAACCAAATGCATGCAGCATCTCTGGCAGTGGACATGGAGGGCAATATCAGTGTTCCTTAGGAAATGCAGCATCCACATACAAACTGTTGTAACTTGCCCAACTCTAATCAATGCCAAGGATGGCAGTCAATAGCACTGTGTACATCTGAATACAGTGCTATGTTTGGCAAACCTCTGTTTATAAGAAAAGAAACAAAAAACCTGACCTCTTCATTGCTTATTGTAAAGAACAGGGAAATGGTTAACTCTTCAGACCACTTATTGATCTATGTGAACAGTGTTATAATTAGTTATACCAGCAAGGCTGCCAGTGAGCAAAGTGACTATGCCAGTTATCCCCAACTACCCCCTCCGAAACTGGATAGTAATGCTATAACCCAAGTGCCTTCCCCTACTGTTTGGTTGGGAGACCTCTCGCCCCATAGCACAACGGGACATGCGCTATGCTATATCTTGGTGTCATCTTGGTTGTATCTTGCATTCTATCTGGGACATATCTCTGTGGATGATTATAATTTTATTGCTGCATCATGGGAAAGCTGGATGTAAGAATTTTAACAAAGGAAAATAAAAAACAATATAAAATGACTCAACTGGCACACTGAAGAACTATAATTTAGGAAGCTGTGCCCAATAGTCTGTTTTAACCAGACTTACTCCCATAAATGCCTTTTTTATTATGTGACTTTTTATGTCCAGGAATGAAAGGTTTGTTGCTGTGCAGGCAATACTGTGATTTTGAAAATCTTGGATTAGTCTGCATCCATCTTATTCCAGGATATCTAACTTTCTACAAAGAGGAATTTCCTTCATGCTCAGCACAAGGGCTAAAGAAAGTACACAGAATTGTAAAGTACAAACATGCAAAGTAATTCTGCTTTTGAACCACCTCTCCACAATTGGTATTGCTTTTAATGTAATGGTTTTTAACGGTTTAGGTTATGAGCAGGAGAAATGAATACCTAGATGAACCAGGAGAGTGTCTAATTCACAATCTGTGGAAGGTACTTTTATCTATTGTGCCATGTTTTTAGCTTTTCCTTTCTTTATAAGGGAACTGTGGGCATATGTAGCAAGCCATCCATAATTAAAATGTGAGGTGTGTTTTTTTGTTTTTTGGTGGAACATTGCAAGATTAGCTTAATGTAGAATCAATGGGAAAACTTTTTTTTTTTTTTTTCTTCCATATTGGATAGAGTAAGGGAGGGTTATAATTTTTGTTATAATCCATTTTGTTGCCATCTGTGTCCTATTGGGGAGATTTGACTTCACTTCCTTTCCCATAGCCAAAACAGTCAGTGAGAGGAAATCCCTGCACATTAGGGGAATGCCTTGGGGCCCAAAATTTGGGTTTTACTTTTTGATAATGGTAAACTGGACAAATAGAGCGGGTGAATCCCCCTAATGGGGGCACAGACATCAATAAAAATAGGTGTTTCTCTCTGTCCAAGACAAAAAAAAAAAAAAAAGTTTTGCCGTTTAGTTAATCTTTTAAAGTATATGTAAAACCCTCACCTTGTTAAACAACCCATTCAGTTTTAAATAGAAATGAAAGGCAAAACATTTTGTGTATACATAGGGGGGGGGGGGGGGGGGGGGGGGGGGGGGGAATGGTATTTATAATGTTCTTTTAATAGGTGATCACATACCCTCTGTTCTGAGCTACATAAGGAACTTGGAGAGCTAGGGGAGGAGAAACCGCTCCATTCCTAGTGAACGGCTGTGCAAGGGTGGGGTGTCATTAAAGGCCTGATCATTGGAGGGGAGCAAGGCTGAGTTCTTAGCACACTTAGGGCTCGTTCACACTTGGCTGTTTTAATACCAACGCTTGCCAAACGCCCCTATAGCGTTTGGCAAGCATTGGTCCGGCGTTTGTGGGGCGTTAACGCTCCGCAAACGCCGCATGCGCGGTTTAGTGGCGGTTGCCAGGCGTTTGCCGAGCGTTAATAACGCCCCACAAACACCTATAATACAGTTTGAGTGGTGTTACCGCTCCGCAAACGCCCCGCAACCGTGTCGCAACCGAACCGCAAACGCCGGCCGGGCGTTTGTGGAGCGGCACCATAGACGAGAATAGGAGGCTTCAACCAGAGGCGTCTGTTTTGCCGCGACGCGACGCAAACGCTCCCATTAGAACAGCACCATGTGCTGTAATGTGCAGAACTGGCAGAGGCGTTTGGGAAGCGGTAAAAACGCTTCCCAAATGCCTTTCTGCCGCCTGCACACAAGGCTAGTGTGAACGTAGCCTTAGACATAAAGTCAAGTGTGAACAAGCCCTAACTCTTGCCAAACGCCCCTATAGTGTTTGACACGTGTTTGTGAAGCATTTTTAACGCTCCCAAAACGCCCTATGCGCGGTTTTGAGGCGGTTGATGGGCGTTTGCCAAGCGTTAAAACCGCACTACAAACTCCTATAATAAAGTTTAAATGGTATTAAGGCTCCGCAAATGCCTCACAACTGCGCCGCAAACACCGTGCTGCCATGTGCAGAATTTTCAGAGGCATTTGAAAAGCGTTAAAAACGCTTCCCAAACGCCTGTCTGACGCATGCTGACAGAGCTAGTGTGAACGAAGCATAAGAAACCTGACCATGCTGTGCTCTCATGCCTAATGTGGTCAATTTTAAATAGGAAAGCAGAGGGACTGGCAGAAACACCAGGGAATTCACACAAAGGAAGCAATACAAAGAGCAGGATACTTTTTCATACAATTACAAGGTACAGCAGGCACAGATCAAGAATATGGCATTTTGAGTTTACAATTGCTTTAAAAAGTGGCATTCTAGGTACAGTGACAGTTGGCAAGTTGAGTGCTTCAATGAATTTATCGTTCCAGAGTTCCTATCCCAGCATCTCTTCATGAAGTGTAGACATCTGGTTCATCCGTCTGTCTGTATTTTAAGATAAATTAGTCTTCGAAAACATTAGGATCGCTATGGCAGGTGGACGAAGGTGGTAATTTAAATGTGAGGATCTAAACTGTGGAGTAACTGACAGGTGGACATTCTAGCCTACTACTACCAGTAATATCACTTTGAGTGGAATGACTGTTTACAGTCTTACCTCCATACGGTTATCTTTTTGTAGTTGAATTATTCCTCCTGTCCATTTGCTGACTCCATCACCTATTTTTGATAATGTATGTGTCCTATGTAGTATTAAAATAATTCTCATTGAGCTCCACTCACCTTGTAGGGAACTTGGGACAACAACAGTGCAAATACATAAAACTCCAGTTTTTTATTTAATATATGACGTGTAGTAACTCATAGCAACCAATTGCAGTTTATTTTTCACTTATCTGACTTCATTGATGTGCTTTCTGGTTGTTATGGGCTACTGCATTTGCACACCATTAGCTGTCCTTGTACTTAAAAGGCCTTATACTCTAAGGTATAATAACCATTCGCCATAGGAGTAGTTTGTTGTGTTTTGGCAAATGCATTCTTTCTTAGTGAATTTACCTTACTATGTAATGGGTATTGGCTGTTAACCCTGTACCAAAACATGATCATATGCTCTATCTGCAGTTTCAGCTAGGAAAAAAAACTGACTTTAAATGGTTACAGTTCCAGAAATCTTATAATTCCATACCTATACAAGCAACACATTTAAACAGGGTGTTTTTTTTATGTTTCAGTCCATCTACTTTGCTAGATGTGAGTAGTATACTGAAGAAGCTAAATGCCATCTTGTGATCAGATTGCTTGTTGGCTAGTTTTCCCTATCCATTTATTTAAGGCCAATAGTAAGAGTGTACAAAAACGATCAATGGTTTTTGGAGCAAGACAAATTGTATTTATCAACTTCAAAATGAAATAAAAAGAATCAGTCCTCTTTTACAATCTTGTGTGATAGATTTTACTTTTCTTTACCTTTTTTCAAATATTTGGTTAATTATGTTTGGGAAAATAAAATGTTTCATATCCAATCCGTTTATGCCTCAGGTCAATCACATATCTAAGTGCAGGCTTTCTGTATACAGTAGGAGTGTGGAGAATGAGGACTCATCAGTGTTAATTCGGGACAAGCAAACACACATATTGCAGGACTGTGTAAAGAGGCTCACATACTTTAACCACTTTCCTCCTGGCCTCTTTTATAATATTGCAGTCAGGTGGGTGCTCTCTTGTTTAGCGTGGATGTCATATTATGTCCTCCCATGTGAGTGCCTTGTGTACGCCCTAGGGCTAGTACATCGGCACAACAATCTGCTACTGCTGTGTCCAACAGACATGGCGGAACACAGATCATTGCACCAGGCTGCTGTGTGCAGCCCTGATACCATGTGATCACTGTGGCCAATCACAGCAATCACATGTCAGTTGTAAAAAACAGCAGCCATTCATAGCTATTTCTTACTATTGTGATTCCTGTAAATGGTCAATGATCACAAGATACAGGGTCAATCACAGTGGACCTGTACCAGGTGATAGCTGCGACCAATTGCAGCTATCACAATAGTATATATACTATACTCTTACTACTTGATTTCTCTGCGGCTTTTGACACAGTTGACCATCCCCTCCTCCTTAAAAAAAACTCCACTCTCTTGGCCTCAGAGACTCTGCTCTCTCCTGGTTCTCCTCCTACCTATCGCAGCGCTCCTTCAGCGTTACCTATAACGCTGCCTCC